AGATACAGTTTAGGAATCAGCATGTGGGTGATAGTTACAACAATGGGACAGACTAAAGTAAAGTGAGCTTGCATATCATAAAAAGAGGGAACACTGAGGAGGGAATTGTGGATAAAACCAGCATTGAAATGGGAGGCCAGGGAAGAGACTGAGAATTAATAATCAAAGGGCCAACTAGGGAGGGAAGAGATGATACAGCTTTAAGAAAAAAGAGCAGTCAGCTGTATCACATGCTGCAGACATAGCAGATACAATCTCCTGAATTTATCAGCTAGGAGGCCATGGGCAACCATTGTCAGTACTTTTCAGTAGAGTAGTAGGATCTGAAGAATGATTGCAGTGGGTTGAGGAAAAAATGAGAAGTTTTAATGTATTACAGGCAAAACTTAATCAAGGTCAACTTTAAATTGAAAAGAATGGAGATGGTAATATGTAGGCTGGTATCTATTAAGCTGAAAATATCTTATATAAACACCTATTAGGAAACTTAGGATGGAGATACATGGTGGACTGGTATCAGAAATTGGGAAGCCATCAAGAACCAAAGCAGTTCGAAGACTTGCCACTCTTCCTGCTTCTCTCAAAGCACTGTGGTTTCCTTTGTGTCTGGTTCATTCTCTTTTTGTCAGTCTCTTTTGTTTTCCATAATCTGTATCCTAGAGGAGCTAGGCCAGTTGGTTTGATAAAACACCGTTATCTCATTTGGGCCAAGCCTGCAAGCCAGGTTGCTTCCCCAGCCTTGGCTCAGAATTATGGATGGCTTAGCTTACCCTTGGTCCAGTGAGTAGCCTGGATTTATACAAAAACCAGGCTAACATATTTTACCTGCCCAATAAAGTATATCTTTACACAGTTTGCTACAAAACACCCGATTAGATCTAGGTCTAAAGCATTTCACTTTACACATTCTCTAGTTTGTAACAGAGCACTTATTGTTTGAACTCCTGAGAAAATAATTACAACTGGGCTTTGTACCACATATCCCATTCTTTTTTTACAATAATGTCTCACCATTGGGTGCCTTATGTATACGTATGTGTGTGTGTATTTGCATGGTAAAAATTAACCAAGCAGGCAAACTTGGGCCACTTCGTAGGAGTTTAAACTCGATATAGATGCAATCATCACTAGGTTTTTAAGTAGTTGATTATGTAAGGACCTAAGTTCTCATTGTTATATGTCATCTATTTCATTTTTCTGTACTGTGCTATTTCAGGAGAATTTAAGCATGGTGAGGAAAAGACAGTGGCACACATTAATCTTTGAGACACTATGCTTACATCCCTGGTTATCTATTTTGAAGTAATTACCACTTCTCTAAAGCTTCTGTCTTGAAGTCATTTTTATGAAGTAAAATTAATTCATCACCTGTTCTACTCTGAATATTATCATGGAAGTTTAAAAATTCATTCTTGGGAAATTCTTATTGCCCAAGTAAGTTTATTTGAGGAAATGAATTATCATCTAAAATGTAATTACTTCTTTCTAAAGGACTTAGTAATTGCTGTCCTTTAATGTTACATTTTCACTTCTATTGCTTAGCTAAACTTAGCAGACTGGCATTCTTGTGTGTAGTACCAGCATGAATAAGAATATTGTTGTAGTCGGACTAAATAGAGCAACCAGTGCCAGTGATAAAAAAAAAAATGCAGCACTGATTACAACTGAATAATAATTAGAAGGCAGGAATGGCAAAGGAGCAGTGGTGGAAAGTGAAGTGATTTTTCTGAGTGTCACTGATCAGAAAATAAATGATTGAAGTAGGAGTGGAGCTAAGAAATCCAGAACCCAAGGAACATAAAACTGAAGTCAGTATCTTCTTTCTCAGCAGGCTTCATGTAACAAGTACTGTGAAAAATGTTTGCAGAGCCAAAGACACTGGGGTGCTTCCCGCATCTCAGGCAATGCTTTATGTGAGATTAAAAAGTTAAAATTAAAAAGGAAGGGTCAAATCAGGGCATGACGTAGAATAATCATGTGTTCAGTAATGTGAGCACATTATTAAACACAACTGAGAAGCAAATGTCTCTGGCTCTTGATTCCCTTGGGCTGTACTTTAGGTACCAGACAGCATTTCTAAGCTGTCTTAAATGCTTTGGGGATGTTTTTGAATGTTTCTTCTTTTCGAATGTTTTATGTTTCTGTGTCTTGTGTTTTAGCTATGAAGATGGCCAAGTGGGAGACACAAATATTAACACACAAGAAGGAGGCATTCACAAAGAGATCCTTCGAGTAATTGGTAATCAAACTGCTACTGGTTAAAGGACCACCATTTAATTAACATGATTTGAAAGCCTTCCTCGGGTTCAAAGCTGGATTTTGAACTGAAGAAGATGATAAAATAATTTATTGTTATTATAAACAAAATTAACCCTTTGAATACTGATTTTTTTCTTAGTATTTCTAAGTTTCTCATTAAATACCTAAAATGGTATAAAATTTATCAATTGTAGGGTTATGGAATCTAGTAATAAAATTACAACAGCACTTAAACTGAAGTTTGGGTTCCTCACACAATAAACAGATTGAAAAAACAGTTTTGTGCTGATATTTTTATATTAAACTCTTTAACTGGAAATTTGGTATTATATACCGACATCTTAGGGTACAAAAATAGAACTGAAAGCATTTTATAATGGCGTCTAAATCTATAAGATACTTTGCAATAAGTGTAATGTTTGCACATTCTGATGTGCTATATAATTAGCGGTATGAACATTCGAATGTTTTGGGGAGGCATGTTTCCTAATCTGTTACTTTTCCATATACAAAAACAATTAGGTCTTAGATACAGTGCTTTGCCCAAAAGTATGTAATATACATATCTATAGATTCATGCATCAAAATGTATGATCGTGCATATATGTGTGTATGTACACATACATATATTTTAACAACAGAGATGGCACAGCTCCACAATTCTTTTCTCATTCAATGGAAAGAAAATAATGTTCAGTAAGAAAATAATATTCTCTCTGGACATAAACCAAGATATGAGCCAAATTCACCACTGCTCATTCACTGAAAATATTTGCAAACAAGTTTTCTATTTGTTTAAAGAATTTTCCCTTCAGTTAAAATTTAACTCTTTATAATATTATAATTTGGGGAAATCTTTATTCAAATGATAATATGTTTAAAAGAAAGGCCTCAGAATTTAAAACAACAGTATATATATTTTTATTTCCTACTGTGGAACGTTTTTTACATTTATTTGTACCACACCAGCATTTTTATATTTTTCATCTAATACCTCTGCTTATTTTTTTTTCATATTGAGAAAGAAGACAAACTTTGAAGTTTCTTTTATATTAAAAGAACATGAATAAGTTTATATAGAGAGCAATAACACCAGCTCTCAGCATTCTCTTTTCAAGAGTCATGTGTGCATCAAAATCGTTACTATTTCTTTGGGACCTAAGTTCTTAATTCATTACAATTTTTAATTGACAGTGTTTCTTTTCCTACATGATGTTTTTGGAATAAGTCCATTCATGAGAGCAGTTTAATTAGCAAGTCTGCCACTCTATTCAAACCCTGAATCAAGGCTCATATCTGACTCTAATTTATTTAGAAAGAAAAAATAAAAATGTATACTCATTTGCAAGTGTAATATAAATTCTGTGCTTGTTCCTTTGGTATAAAAGGTGAGAACAAAGGTCATACACATTGTTAAGGATTTCTATCTAGGAAGCATTTACTAATTGTTTGTTTTCTTATATTGTAAATAATTGATATGCCACTTATTTCTGCAAAAATAGACTTGAAGGGATATTAATCATTGTGATAGGATCCAACTAAAACATTGATCTGTTTTGACTTGTGCCTCTGAACTCAAGGCCAGACTGAGGTATAATATTGGTGTGGTAGGTCCAAGATACAGTATCTTATTCAGTTCTGTGACCAAATATTTGAAGACTTTACATGGGACAAGAGGACTCCTTGCTTCTTTCTGCCAAGTCTCCCAAGTCTCCCAAATCCCTTTACTGTGTTTTAAAAATATTTTAAAGCAACAAAATTACATTTTCAAAGTAATTTTGTGGGACGTTCATGTATATATGACATAAATATGAGGATGTAATAGTAGGATTTGGAAATTGAAATCTTGAAACCCCATGTGTTTGGCCACTAGGACCACTGAGGCACCTCCAAAAACTCTCTAAAGTGCCTCCAAGCATAATTTAAAAACCACTAATCCACTAAGGATTTACTCAACAGTTGAGTGACCTGTAAGGGGTATAGTATTAGAATCTGAACTGGAAGGGTAGCTTGGAGGACTCAAGGGAGACTATTTAGGGGAGATAAAACATTATAATACAAACTTCTACTGTCAACTTAAGAATAAAAGTAGATTCATCTATCAGAGCAAGGAAAGTAATTGATAGTTTTAATGTCCACTAAATATTACAGATAATAGACATCTTTTATGATAGTAAGATGTCTTCTCATGATAATTGAATGCTTTTGCAATGCAGAATGACAGATTTTAGTTTGTTTTGAAAGACTGTCAAAACTTTTTAAGCCTGTATCTAAAAAATAAAGCCAGTCTTCTCATTGGACTTTTGATATTGGGAATACTATAGTAAACTGTTGTTTGTTTCTACAGAATCTAATTTCAGTACCCATTAGTAGATGAATATCATGCTTTCAGAATCCAAGCAGGTCCTTAAAATTTAGAAGTTTAAACATTATCATCATGCCTTGATTCAGTTACCTCGTTAAGATATTATCTTTTGACTTATTTGATGATTCCAAACATGTGATATTGTATTGTACTTCTATGATCACTTGAAGTCTGTTCACTGATTCTTTGTAATAGTTATACTAATTATGTAGTCATTACTACTTAATATTAACCCACTGAGCAAAGGCAGTCATTTATTTTCATTCTTCAAGTGGGAGAAGAGCCTTAATTTATTAGTTCTACTTTTTTTCCTGCATTACTGGTTTTGTAAACATTTCACTATGAATAATTTGCCCTCTTTCACTGTCCACTGTATTTAAAAAGAGAAGAAAATGATTGAACATTCGAGAAGAGAAAAAGTAATAATATACATATAACCTAGTGCTATAGAATACATTATGGTAAGGTACTTTGGTGCCTTAGATTGCGTTATGTTAAAATGATTTTTATTTTGTTGCTCAGCAAATCTCAGTCAAATGTCGGATTTGAAGGTGGTTTCTAAATTTAAAACTTAAATATAAGAGTGCCACATCCTTAAATTCACTCTCAAATACTGTGTGATATTAGAAACCTACTCAAGCTATTGTTAATGCTATGAATATTTCTCATTGAAAAATTAATTTAAGAGTTTAGAGAAGAAATCCCTCAATTATTCTCCCCTTAGCTAAAAGAAAGGAAATTTTTAATGTGTAAGTCTATGAATCTTTATTATCACTGAAAGAATTTTATCAGTACTTTGTACCATAATACCATAACTTGCCTTAGGGCATGGGGTTTCAGAAAGTTCTAAGGAAGACCTCATTATCCTTGTTAAAGTCTGGATGACTTCGTCAGATAGTGATTTAATACGTCATGAAGGTCCATTCAACCTTGGACTGTCTACCATCTAAATGTATGGATTTCATGGTGGCACTTGAAGCACATTTTAAAAATATTATGATGTTATTCTATTGTCCTGCTGAATTCATTATTACACTACCTCAAGACAAATGATAGACTGTTTGTGAAGATAAGTTTAGGTTTCCAGTATAAGGATCAAATAAAATTTTACAAATAGAAGTCATCAAATAATATGACAGTCAAGACCATGCTAGATCTATGTTGTCAATTACCTCTTGACAATACAGTAATATGGATATTTCAATCACCAGTGATGAATAACATAGTTATCACCCAATGAGTAAGTGAAGGGGTTTCAAGTTGCAAAATTTGAAAATAATTAGTTCCCTTTAGGATTGGTTTTCTACGTGGGCCAATTTTATGTCCTTTCACCTGAAGCCACAAAGAATTGCCCACCCTAAACAGTTAAAGGATTAAAATACCCAACTGCTGTGCCAGAATGGCAGACTGAATATTCAAATATTCTTGAATGCCTGCTAAATTTTTGTCAGATTATATATAAATTTGATGTATATTATTACCCAGTAAGTTTTTCTTGGGAATTTTGTATACAGTCTGATATATTAGGATAAGTTTTTGTAGTTCAAAGGAATTTCAAGTAGTTTTTAGACAAAACATATCATATCCATGAGTGTGAAAAAGCTGTGTTGGAGAATAGATTACATTACACATTTACCAGCAAGTCAGTAAAAAATAGTGCTTATTTACATAGTCAACATAATTTAATGTTCTAAAAATAATTTCTTCAATCTGCCCAATATTTAATGTGTCATTTGAGATTTTAAAAACGCAGCCACTCCTTTATGTAAACATTAAGATATGCCTATGTTTCTTTAATTCTACAGCCTTCTTTACAATAAATTTCTTGACTTTTGTGCACAAAATAGTATTGCAACCTGCTCTTTAGCCTTTGGTGCCTTAGAGTTATTATAAATATTTAACAATATGTACATAATGTAAATACTGCCAAAAGATCACTAAGGCCAAGTATTTTCTCTATTCACTTTTTACTGCACTTGCTTTCTATTGCTACTTAAGCCTCTTTTATCCAGCTTTGTAATAGTTCTAACATTGTAGCCAATGTAAATGTTTACTTTCAATAAATCTGAATTTGTTCAACAAGTACGGTATATGTGGGCACTATTTTGAAAACTCGGTTAGGCCTTAGATACTCCTCATGATGAATCTTGCTTCTGGGGACTAGATATTTGAAGTTCTCAATAAACTCTAAAAATGATGCTGCCCTTTTCACTTAAAAATACTTTTAAAATAAGAGGGAATAAAAGAAAAAACTCTTCTTGCCAGTATTCCCCAAGTAGTTGCAGTAGATTTAATTGGTCATGTGAGTACCATTTTAATTTCAAGTTCCGTCAAGAAATACAGGATTGAAACAAAAGATTTTTGTACATTTTATATATATGCTCTATTTATAAACACTCTGGCATAATATCAACTGGAGCATTTCAAATGAACTGTCTTGACTTTTCTAAGCATTTCTGACTTGGTTAGTAATTGGAAAATAATTGTTAAAGCACCACTTTATAAAATACATTTCATTAACTGAATAAGATATTAGTCCATAAATAAATATGGTTCTCTAAACACTTTAATAGTAAATATTTATGAGGAGCTAAATTTACATTCTTGTAATAAATAAAATATTTTACTCATGTTACATTTATAGCTGCAAAACCATAGATAACACACTTCTGGTTTTTAGACTTGATTTCAGTTACTCTAAAAATACTTGTTAGAGTCTAATATGCATCTTGACATTCAGTCTAAGGAATAGAGAGTATTAGATTTTGTGTTGACCTTAAGGAGCCTTCAGTCTATTTGGGAAAGGAAAACACACACGTTTGCAAATAATTCATGAATAGCACAAGGCCAGTGATGCTGAATGGGAAAGACCAACAATACAGGCAACACTTAGGGAAGGAACAGATCATC